AATAAAATAAATTAAATTAAAACTTAATTAAATTTTATTTTAAATTAAGCATTAAAGCTCTTCCTTCCTTTGTAATAAAAAAATATTAAAAGTAAAGGTTCCCCTCACATATATGTGCTAGCCGTTCCCGACTCTGGGGGGCAGTACTCATCTCTGTTTCAAAGTCGAAGAGCCAGCACTGTCTAAAGACGTCTCCGTGGTCATGTGGCCGGCATGACTAAACGCCGAAGGTGCATGAAACGCTGTTACCTTCCCGCCAAAGGTGGTCCCTATTTTTCTACTTGCATTTTTACATGCTTTCGAATGGCTAGGTTGGCAGAAGCTGGGACAAGTAATGGGAGCTCATTCCATTATGTGGCACTAGAGATTCGAGCCACCAACCATTCTGGTCGACAAGCTCAGTGTCTTAGCTACTGAGCCACCGTGTCCCTATAATTATAATAATAATTATAACTCACCAAATAGAATCTTACCCCATCGCTTAGAAACTATCTCTTTAGCTATAAATTAATTATATGCTGCTTGTGACTCCTCAGCTCCTGCAGTCATGAGACACAGCTATCCAGAGTGCAAATGAGTGATTGCATGATCTCTCATTTATCCAGAAAGATTTGAGCCTGCTAATCTCTGCTGATCTGGCTGCTGATTTACATTGTATTGCCATCCCTGCTCTTTTCTCATGATTCTCACCAGAAGCTCAGCCTTAATTTATATACATTGTCCCAGCAATAAATTCAAATACACTTAATGTGCCTTAAGTATGCATAGGATTTTAATTTATATACTACATCAACATCTTCCACCTGCTTTAATTTTAAACCTTTATCAGACCCAGATTAATTGCAGGTCATATTTTCAAACAAAACAATTAGGAGTTTGCTACTAGCCATTTATAAACAGGAGAATATGCTGATTAAACTTTGAATTTGTTAGAATTTGTACATGTAGTTTGCTAAGGTTTCTGGAGTGGGCATGATGAAGAAAATTCAATATTCAATCCAAAAGTTTATCTTTCATTCTTCCCTTTTCCCCTTTTCTTCATCTCCTTTATTTTTTGGGTACAAAGGTTTGGTTTAAAAACAGAAGAGCTAAATTTCGAAAGAAGCAGCGCAGCTTGCAGAAAGAACAGCTACAGAAGCAGAAAGACTCAGAGGCCAATCACAGTGAAGGCAAAGCAGACACTCCCGTGTTAGAAACACCAACTCCAACTCCCGATGCAGACAAATCTCTGAGCTTGCCAAGGGAGGTAAATGCAGAGCTCAGCCTGACACTCTCCGAGCATTCAGCCAGCGAGTCAGCAGCCGAGGACCAGACAGACAAAGAGGAAGAATTCAAGATCTTCCTTGAGGAGAACAAGGAAGAAAAAAGTCCTGGAGAGGAAAACAAGGTGCTGAATAGTAAGAGGGCAAGTCCTAAAGCAGGTGAGAAGAAAACCAATTCCCTTTGCTAAGAATTTTTATCTCAAAATCCATGTTAGATTAAAGCGTGCAAACTCAGGTTTCCAGATCTCTTAACAATGTAAAAGATATTTTTTAAAATAAAAGGTAGAGAAGGGTCTACATAAGGTCAGAAAATACTGAGAACATTAAAACTCTTTAAAATAATCACACCAAACCATTTCAGTCACTTCCAGGCAGATTATTTCAAAAGTGAATTTTTGTCTCTGAAGAAAAGTGGCTTAAACATTTCTCATAGTTTGCTGCTTTTTCTTTTAAGTTATTCAGTTACTTCACATTCATTATTTCATTCACTGAGTCAGGCAGAACAATGCAAATGAAGCAATATGACTGCTTTGTTTTATTGGAACTTGGGCTAGCTAGGAGGCTGTTTCACAAATCCTCAGTATTCTCCAAGCATTATTATGACTCTGAAGTTGACAATTTTTACCTAAACATCAAACTAAGCAAGTACCAATTTAATTTGGTAACAAACTGTTAAATGTTAAGATATTGCCAAAGAAGACTACTATTAACCCAGGTCTTGGAATTACAAAGTTACAGCTTTATATTGTAAAAAACCTGAGCCAAGATGGAAGAGCTTCATCCATCTTGGCGCAGGTTTAAAGTAATTTTTCCAAATATGACAGGCCGATGGGATATGTACAGCATTCTCAACTATTTCCTACAAGCAGAAGCTCTGTGTCCATCTTATTGTGATATGTTTTTTCCAGATTACAATGCAGTTTCACATTCAGCTTTTGCTTTAATGAATGCAAGGGTAACATTTCACACAAGTTAATTCTTGGATGAATTCAATCCAGGCACATACTGTGTTTCCCCGAAAATAAGACAGGGTCTTATTTTCTTTTGACCCCCGAAATAAGCACTTGGCCTTATTTTCAAGGAGGTCTTATTAATTTTGAGGTGCAGGAGGTGGTGAGCGTGATCACCTCATGGTTGCTGCTGTGCTGCAATATTTTTAGGAAGGGCTTATTTTCAGGGGAGGGCTTATTTTAGCACATGTGCTCAAAAGCCTGATTGGGCTCATTATCTGGGGAGGTCTTGTTTTAATGTTTTAATTTTTGTTGTAAATCCCTACCTCTGAATGAAATTTGTGATACATAAATCAAACAAGTGTTGGGCTTTTTTGCATTTGTATGAAAGGAAGAGCAAATAACTGATCCTTAAGATATCATATTTTATCTGGATTAGAATTACTAAGAATAATTGCCAGGGTTTTAGACAAGAATGTGTCCAGTGGCATCTGAAATTCTAGGATCCAACAGCCTTTACATGAAAGAGGGAGCTGTAGATTTCCAGAGGTTGCTAAATATATCCCCCTACAACTCTTGACATTGTGAGTTCTGTCTGGGGTTGCGTTGACAGTTATGAAAAGTCCATGGGTTCCCTTCCCATTGTTTACACACATCGTGTTTTCAAACATGGCATTACAACCATCATTCTTTCTCCCTTACCCCATTGCACAGAGCTTGAAACATCTTTTAAAAATCCCAATGCAATGTATTCATTCCAGGTTGGAGTTTAGTCTTCATTGACTTGATTTTGTTGTGTTTAACAATGCAGAATCCCCTGTCGGCACTGCTGCCACTGCATCCTCCAGCAGTGGCATGTCTCAGGCGCATTCCTATTCGTCTTCTCCTCTCAGCCTCTTCCGCCTTCAAGAGCAGTTCCGCCAACACATGGCAGCTACCAATAACTTGGTCCATTATTCATCCTTTGAAATGGGAAACCCTTCTTCCATGCCGTATTTGGGCATGAATGTCAACATGGCACCCCTAAGCTCGCTGCATTGCCAGTCTTATTACCAGTCCCTCTCTCACGCCCAGCAAGTGTGGTCCTCTCCAATTCTCCAGGCATCTTCCTCTCTTCCCAGCCTGAACAGTAAAACAACCAGCATTGAGAATCTCCGGCTGCGAGCAAAGCAACACGCTGCCTCTCTGGGACTGGATACTTTACCAAACTGAGGGCCTAGCTGAACTCCAGCAAAAGCCTGATAAACAGATGGCTTCAAGGAAATGCCCAACCCTCTGCCACTGGAGAGAAGGATTTCTGATATAGAGCCTACTACTTTCAATTTTGTTCCCATTAAGGTGCTCCCATTTGTGGGAAAGGGTTGTCAGAAGTCATGTGGAGACCACATCTGGCATTACCTCTTTGCACTGGCCAATTTAAAAAAATAGCCTACAGAAAGGTGTTATAAAATGTGAAATTGTCTTCAGAACTGTGAGTCAAATATGAATTATTTGGGAACATTTTATTAGTCTATGTGTTGAGAGCTTTGCTTTTATTTGGGGCGGGAGCAGAACTGGGAAGAGGAAGTCCCACTTCAAACTGTATATAGTCTATATGTTCTTTCACTTGTGTGTTAATATCAGTGTTGCCTTACGCAGAATTGTGGAACATCCCTCCTTTCATTTTCTTTTGCCTTTTATACTTATTCAGTAGATGGAATCAATACTGTCATTACAACAACAACAACAACAACAATAACAACAAAACAGAGGAAAAAAGAGCAAATCCTTTATCAGCTGGTTTTACACTATCAATATTTCTAATGCAGTTGAATAAAAATAGTTCTGAAACTCCAGTTGCCACTTTTTGCTGTATGTTATGAACACCAGGATATAATTAAGCATTGATTCCTGGTTAAGCACTTCCACTCGGACAGGTTCAGATTTTTCTTTGAAGCACTTCCTCAGATAAAATGGCTGAAAGCCCTACTAATTTTTCTGTACAATTTCCAAAGACCTATGTTCTTTCTCTCTTCTGCTAAGATACATCATTTTCTATTTGTATGTTTGTGCAACTTTGAAACTGAAAAACAGATGTGCAATGGTGTGCTTTATCTGCCAGGTCTTTTCTATATTAGTTGCATGCAAAGTCAAGGCAAGAAATGTTGGCACCCTTCCACTGGGCAGTGCATGGCACCTTCCTCCTGCCACCCAGGCAAAGTGCCCTGTGTTGTGTCTAATAAATTTGCTTGGTGTTGGAGACTGTAAATCCCAAAGGCCCTTTTCATGCTCCCTGTAATAATAGTAATAAATTTCATCACCAATTATCATCTGACATTTTATATCGTCTCAGTCTGGTTAATGGTGGAGCTAGTCATTATAGCTGTGCTCTAATTCATGCAATGATACTCCAAATGTGTCCTCACACCAAGAAGATTGCCTGCAATATCATAGTGCTTTGTATCCAATTATGGGGTGGTACATCAACATCCGAAATGCTCTTAAGAAAACGTTAGAAACCTCTGTTCTACATATGATGCTTTTTCATACTGAGTCTCACAATTTAAATAAGTTGTAACTGGTCTAAGTCCTCCTGACTTTGATGACTCTAAATGATTTGGGGGCAATTCAAATCCAAACAATGAATTTCTTTAGATTGGGTCAACCAAAGTACTTTTTGTAAGACAATAATTAGATAAGACAATAAGTAGATTATGATGTTCACCCTAACTAACACCAAACATATCAAACAGAAAAACACTTATTACTTTCAATTTGGAAGACAGTGGTTAACGTTCATTTTTATGTTTTAAAATATCTACCTGATATTTACAAGCAAGGCCATGGATTCATTCTGCTTAAAAGAATATTTCTTAAATGTCTACAAAGTAGTTCTCTACAGGTTGTTAGATTTCAGTTTAATCCTTTCTGGCTATGAATTATAAAAGTTACTGTAGCTCAATATTCCTGCATTGCAACCAGGTTGAGGAAGGCAGAGATTAAATAGTACAAAATGAACATAGGACACTGAGAGTTTAAAAAGTGGGGAAAGTCAAAGTAATATTAAGAGGTTATAAGAAAGATGCTACAATGAAATTATATTTCATATAAATTACTTTCCTGTTAGAAGACATACTGCAAATACATGGAAAAAACATATTCCAGATTTTTTCCCAGTTTGGTTTGTAATGCCAATGGCTAAATAGAAGATAAAACTTACAATGAAAGATTGTCATTTTAAAATATTGCCTAAAGTCTGTAGGTAGCAAATTTATTTTAGAACTTTTATTTTCTATAAAGGAAACTCTTTCCTATGATTTCTTTCTCCTAAGGGTTGCAAAGCTTCTTCTGGTAAATTTAGACTTGCTCAATCCAGATTTAATTTTGAAGTTCGCAAGCATACCTCTATTGTTGAGTACAAAACTTTCATTATTGTCATAAAATTTTTGTACGCTACACACACACACACACACACACATTTTTTCATTCAGGAACATAATGCATACAGACATATCCAATGTTTTTACATCTTTTAATTACTGAAGTATTTAATTATCCTCTTATATCAAGAGCTTTGTAATTAAACTGAGCAAAAATTATGTTGCTCTGAAAGCTTTCATTCAATAAAAATGTTCAGTTAACACAGAACATGCCACACTCAAAATTACTTTAGCATTTCTCAGATTCAGTGCAGTAAAATTTTCATTTTGATAGAGAAAAATAAATAGTAAAAAGAAAAATTAATGAATAGCAATGTAAATCAGTCCTCTCAAAAGTGTATACACACACACACACAGACATACATACACATATATACATATACATATACGTATATGTATACGTATACATACATACATACATACATACATACATACATACATATATATTTATTTATTTATTTAAAGTCACAACCCCTGGTATGCCCAAATATGGGAGGAAGTTCACTTCCTCTGAGAGAGAGCTAAATAGCTTTAAATAGACCTATACTAGTCTCCCTTTATTTATTTATCAGCACAAATACAACACACGCGCGTGCGCGCGTGCACGCGCGCGCGCACACACACACACACACACACACACACACACACACACACACACA